GGTGTTCCTCTCACCTAAGAAATCCCAACAAATGTAGGGGCACTATGCCAGACACTCCTATTACTCAAGAAATTACAAAGGTCTTATAAGTTGTGCATCAGGATCAGGGGTTCAAGACTAAATATTAAAATCAAAGGTTTCTCTAGAACCCTTATCCACAATGGCTTCAGAATCTCTGTATACCAAGAACCAGGGGCAGAAACCAAAGACACAGTGCTTATTGTATCACCATATCATCGCATTCTATTCACAAGGTAACCTGTTCTATTGGGCACACTGTTAATTAACAAATTACTCCTTATTGTATGGCCCTTAGTGAAAGCATGTCGGAGGTGGGAAAACTAGACACTATTCCTTCCACGTTTTTTATAGAGGAAAGATTTGGGTCCAGGGACACTTGTCTGAATGCCGGTAACATCTTTTACTTAAGTTGCATGTTTATTTTGAGAAGTTTTGGTGGAATTTCTGAAGATTTTAAGAACAATTGTCTATACTATTTAAGGAAATGTCAGCAGCAAAAACTAAAAAATTAAAAATCTCAAAGGCTTCACACAAGTTTACTTCTTATTCATATAGCATAATGCATATTCTTTCATCATTAACCAAAATCAACTCAAAGTGGATTCAAAATTTAAATGTAAAGTCTCAAATTATAAAAATACTGATACAGAACACAGGGGAAACTCTTCAAGACACCAAAGAAGGCAAAGATTTCTTAAATAAAACCTCTGAAGCACAGGCAATAATCCAAAAAATAGACAATAGGAATACATCAAAGTAAAACAGCTTCTGCATAATTGAAGAAACTCCAATTAGAGTGAAGAGACAACCCTCAGAATGGAAGAAAATAGTTGCAAACTATTCCTCAGATAAAGGGATTGATAACCAGAACCCAAACAATTCACCAGCAAATAAGAGCACAATCCAATTTAAAAATGGGCAAATGAGCTCAGCAGACAACTCTCCAAGATGACAGCCAAAATGCATATAGAAAATGTTCAACATCACTTATCATAAGGTAAATGCAAATCAAAACCCCAATGAGATACCACTTAACCCCATTTGGAAAGTTTATGATCAAAAAAATAAAGAACAACTCTTCAACAATGTTAGTGGGAATGTAAATTAATACAGTCACTGTGTAACAATATGGAAATTCCTCAAAAAGCTACTAGTAGAACTACCACACAACTCACTCCATAGTATTTTACTCAAAGGGTAGGAAAACAGTGGGAAAAACACTTGCACATCCACTATCTCAGCATTATTCACAATTGCTGTAACATGGAATCATTTAAATGTCCAGAACACATGATTGGATTGAAAAAAAACTTTCAAATATACACTGCAGCGGGGGTCTTCAACCTGTTAGAAGCTGGGCTGTACAGCACGAGGTGAGCATTGGGTGAGCAACTAAAGCTGCTTCTGTGTTTACAACCACTCTCTTTTTCTTGCATTACCACATGAGCTCTGCCTCCTGTCAGATCAGTGGCAGTATTACATTCTCATAGAAGTGCAAACCCTACTGTGAACTAGGTTGTACTCCTATGAGAATTTAAAGTCTGATGATCTGAGGTAGAGCTGGGGCAGTGATCCTAGTGCTGGGGAATAGCTGCAAATACTGACTGACATTAGCAGAGAGATTTGACTTCATAAGGAGCATAATAAATTAATTGCTTGCAGACTCATATTGAAACCCAATTGGTGAGTGGCAAGTGAGTTGATATACGTCAATTGTACAGGCGCATCTTGTGGCAGGTTGTAAGTCAGAACCCAACACTTACTTTAGCTGATGCATGGCTGCCCATTATTTTATTTACCACCCCCATCTGTATGTAGGGGCACTATGCCAGACACTCCTATTACTCAAGAAATTACAAAGGTCTTATAAGTTGTGCATCAGGATCAGGGGTTCAAGACTAAATATTAAAATCAAAGGTTTCTCTAGAACCCTTATCCACAATGGCTTCAGAATCTCTGTATACCAAGAACCAGGGGCAGAAACCAAAGACACAGTGCTTATTGTATCACCATATCATCGCATTCTATTCACAAGGTAACCTGTTCTATTGGGCACACTGTTAATTAACAAATTACTCCTTATTGTATGGCCCTTAGTGAAAGCATGTCGGAGGTGGGAAAACTAGACACTATTCCTTCCACGTTTTTTATAGAGGAAAGATTTGGGTCCAGGGACACTTGTCTGAATGCCGGTAACATCTTTTACTTAAGTTGCATGTTTATTTTGAGAAGTTTTGGTGGAATTTCTGAAGATTTTAAGAACAATTGTCTATACTATTTAAGGAAATGTCAGCAGCAAAAACTAAAAAATTAAAAATCTCAAAGGCTTCACACAAGTTTACTTCTTATTCATATAGCATAATGCATATTCTTTCATCATTAACCAAAATCAACTCAAAGTGGATTCAAAATTTAAATGTAAAGTCTCAAATTATAAAAATACTGATACAGAACACAGGGGAAACTCTTCAAGACACCAAAGAAGGCAAAGATTTCTTAAATAAAACCTCTGAAGCACAGGCAATAATCCAAAAAATAGACAATAGGAATACATCAAAGTAAAACAGCTTCTGCATAATTGAAGAAACTCCAATTAGAGTGAAGAGACAACCCTCAGAATGGAAGAAAATAGTTGCAAACTATTCCTCAGATAAAGGGATTGATAACCAGAACCCAAACAATTCACCAGCAAATAAGAGCACAATCCAATTTAAAAATGGGCAAATGAGCTCAGCAGACAACTCTCCAAGATGACAGCCAAAATGCATATAGAAAATGTTCAACATCACTTATCATAAGGTAAATGCAAATCAAAACCCCAATGAGATACCACTTAACCCCATTTGGAAAGTTTATGATCAAAAAAATAAAGAACAACTCTTCAACAATGTTAGTGGGAATGTAAATTAATACAGTCACTGTGTAACAATATGGAAATTCCTCAAAAAGCTACTAGTAGAACTACCACACAACTCACTCCATAGTATTTTACTCAAAGGGTAGGAAAACAGTGGGAAAAACACTTGCACATCCACTATCTCAGCATTATTCACAATTGCTGTAACATGGAATCATTTAAATGTCCAGAACACATGATTGGATTGAAAAAAAACTTTCAAATATACACTGCAGCGGGGGTCTTCAACCTGTTAGAAGCTGGGCTGTACAGCACGAGGTGAGCATTGGGTGAGCAACTAAAGCTGCTTCTGTGTTTACAACCACTCTCTTTTTCTTGCATTACCACATGAGCTCTGCCTCCTGTCAGATCAGTGGCAGTATTACATTCTCATAGAAGTGCAAACCCTACTGTGAACTAGGTTGTACTCCTATGAGAATTTAAAGTCTGATGATCTGAGGTAGAGCTGGGGCAGTGATCCTAGTGCTGGGGAATAGCTGCAAATACTGACTGACATTAGCAGAGAGATTTGACTTCATAAGGAGCATAATAAATTAATTGCTTGCAGACTCATATTGAAACCCAATTGGTGAGTGGCAAGTGAGTTGATATACGTCAATTGTACAGGCGCATCTTGTGGCAGGTTGTAAGTCAGAACCCAACACTTACTTTAGCTGATGCATGGCTGCCCATTATTTTATTTACCACCCCCATCTGTGCCTCTTTCCCACACTACACACTCATCTCAGTCACAGTTTTGGTTAGCCCACACACTAACCCAAACCAAAATTAGTTTTTTTTAAAAAGTCACTGGAGAGCTTCTTTGAAATGGGCACACAACCTAATGAAAAGATGACAAAAGATTCTAAAACTGCCAAAAAAAGAAAGTTGCATTTAAAAGAGAACACCAAGGGTCCTACCTATGTATGGGTTTCAATAGATGATTAATATTTTCTAAGCCAATTCTGTATACTATGTGGTGACCAGATTCCAGTTGGAATACAAACTGAGGACTTTCACTGATTCTGCATTATGGTGAGTTGTATAATGATTTCATTATATGTTACAAAATGCAATAATAATAGAAATAAAATACACAATCCATGTAATGCTCTTGAATCATCCCCAAACCATTCTTCTTCCCCCTGGCCCCAGTCTGTGGAAAAACTGTCTTCCAGGAATCTGGTCCCTGGTTTCAAAAATGTTGGGGGCTACTGCCCTATAGAATACTCTGCCATAAAGAGCAATGAAACCTTGTCATTTGATTCAAAGTGGATGAATGCAGAAGATTTAATGCTAAGCAAACCAAAGCAGATTATGAGAGACAAACATTGTATATCCCCACTCAATATATATCTGATCTCCACAGTCTATGGCAGAAATTGAAAGATACAAAGAGAAAATGGTAAGGGGAACAAATGTAAATACCGAAGACTGCATGGGAGAGGAATAAATAAGAGCAGGTAGTAGAGGATAGATGGGAGGGCCTCAAGGAAGAAACATTTAACAGGCACAAGAATGTAAAGTTCGCTGTTGGAAATTATATACATGGTAATACTCTTCATTAGACTGTCACATACTGCATGCCAATTCTCAGAAACCATATTGTGTTCTATGGAGATGAGCAATGATTGAATGTAAATAAGAAATCATATAATGCTTTAAAATGCAGATTCCAGGTCAGGCAACTTTTCTCAAAGTCCTAATTTCTACTCCAGGCCCCTTCTATCTTAGGGTACAACATTTTCAACAAATAGTTTACAAAACACCAAGTCTCGGTTTCACTCTGCTAATGGGGAACAGGAAGGAATACTTTTCATTTTAATAGCTCAGGCCAAGAAGTACCATATACCCTTGGCTGGAAATCATTCACATGGTCATCACCACAAGGAAGGCTGGGGCAAGGAGATCTAGCTGAGTGTACAAGAAAAATTGGAAGTGAGTTTGATGATCCACTAGCAAACTTGG